GCTAAGAACACTGGGGCTAAGTAGGTCCCAATAACTCAAACGTTAACAGCAATTTTCTTTTTTGGCAGTACTGGGTTTTGAACTCAGGCAGTCTCACACTTGCTGGGCAGGTGTTTTACTACTGGAGCCACACAGCCTGCACCATTTTTTTTTTTTTCTTTCCATGCTGGGGATGGAATCCAGGGCCTTATGCATGGATCCCAGACACACGATCACCAGTTTTCACTCTGAAATTACAGAGTTGCATCCTGGCAACCGAAATGACGTTAATCAGATTTTTTCTTTTAGTGGGACTGGGGTTTGAACTCAGGGCTTCCAGTTTGCAAAGCAGGCGCTTTGCCGCTTGAACCACACTTCCAGTCCATTTTGCTCTGGTTAATTTGGACATGGGGTGGGGTGTTTCAGAACTATTTGTCTGGGCTAGTCTCAAACGGTGATTCTACTGATTTGAGCCTCCCAAGTAGCTGGGATTACACACCTGAGTCACCAGCGCCGCTTGACATTGATCAAATTAATCATTCCCAAGCCTGCTTCTTGGTCTGTCACCAAGAACACTGAGGGTCAGCCTCGGATCTACTGCATAGTAAGGCGGTAGCTAACGACAGTCATTATTATTATTATGACATTTGGGATATGGGAATAAAGATTAGCTTAACAGGTAGCCAGCAACCCCAAAGAATGCTCCTATTTTTCATACGATCCAGAGTTTTTCTCCTTTGCAAAATGAGGGAGGGGGAGGGTCCCCGTCTTGCAGCAGGGCGACAGTCCCCTGATAATGAACGCCGATTCGGGAACACGGCTGGGGGCACAGGAGACACCCGCAGGGGACCGATCATTTGGACACCCGGAGCCATGGGACAACTTGGGCTCCGTCCTGCCGCCCAGGGGCCGCGGCCCGCATGCACGGGGTCGGAAGCTCCCGCCTCGCCGGGGTGGGGAGACCCCCCTTCTCCTCCGATAAAACACACAAACGTCCGTTCCTGGAGCGACCTGCCTTCTCAGAGGACGACCCGGTCCGCTTCTGCCATCCTCTGGCTCGCAGGCGGAACACCAGGTCTCCCGTGGCAACCGCGCGAGCCCTAGCGGCCGGCGCCCTCTCCGGCGAGCCTTCTGCGCAGGCGCGGAATGACGCAACACGCAACTTCCGCTTGTTTTCCGGAGTCCTGTCGGCGCCGGGGGCGGGGACTTTTTTACGTGATGACGTCAATGTCCCGGGCTTCGACGGCGGGAAGAAGCGACGCGGGAATGGAGGTGCAGGAAGGTGTTGCGGGGGAGCGCGGGGCTCAGGCCTTCAGCAAGGCTACGGGCAGCGCCGGCCATTACGAGCTGCCGTGGTGAGGACCCAGGCCGTAAAATAATTGGGCGCATGGGGGCACAAGGGTGGGCGAGGGGCGGGCTGAGCCTCGGGGGAATCCGGGAGACGGGGGTTCGGGCCCGACCGCGGGGTCCCCATAGTGTCCCGGAGGTGTTTGTTTGCAGAAGGCGACGGACGTGGGCTTCTGAATTCTGTGAATGGAGTCTTGGTACTCCATGGGACCTGTTTTTTATTTTTATTCGTGATTTTTATGTTAAATTACATGCTGAAAATGATACTGCCATTGAGTATATTGGAGCCAGTATGTTGTATTGTTAGAATTTAATTTTGTTCATTGTCTTTTTACCTTTTAATGTGGCTACCAGAAATTGTGAAATGACATAGGCGACTGGCCTTCCATTTTTCTTGCACAGTGCTGTTGTAAATGATTTGAGACACTTCAGGGAGCCAACCCACTTCTTTGCTATCTATTGTCATGGTGGTTACATCTAATAAAGACGAAGTAAAAAATAAACAAATAAACAAAGCTAGCTGGCTGCTGGTGGCTCAGGCCTGTAATCCTAGCTACTCAGGAGGCAGGGATAAGGAGGTTCGCAGTTCGAAGCCAGCCCCGGGCAATTAATTCCCTGAGACCCTATCTTGAAAATACCTAACACAAAAAAGGGCTGGTGGAGTGGCTCAAGGTGTAGGTCCTGAGTTCAAACCCCAATACCGCAAAAAAAAGTAAATAAATAAAGCTGAAGTGCAATAGTAGAGTGCGTGTCCCTGGATTCAATCCCTAGCAACCCCCTCCCCCCAAAAAAAATGTATCTATAGAGAGAGGGCAAGTAAATGTGATGTATATTTGGCTGGGAAAGGTGCTGTGAAGAAAAATAGCTGTGATGGTCAAAGAAGGCCTCTGATGAGGTTTTGCTAATTGATTCAAAAAGTCAGGGGTCAAGCCTTGTGACTTTGTGAAGGAAGAACTGTCAGGCAGGGGGAGCAGCTGTGCAGAGACCCTGAAAAGGAACTTGCTTCCCTTGGTCAAAATCCAGCTCCAGAATCAGGTGTGGTGGTACATGCCTGTAATCCCAGTACTCAGGGGGATCAGCAATTTGAGGACAGCCTGAGCTACATAGTGAGATTCTGTCTCAAAATAACAACAAAGGGCTGGAGGAGTGGCTCAAGTGGTAGAGCACCTGCTTTGCTATCTCGAGGCCCTGAGTTCAAACCCCAGTCCCACCAAGAAACAACAAAAGAATAACTATAGCTGCAGCTTCAGGTCCTGACAATCCCAGCTTGATTCGTTTCCTGCTCTGGGCATGCACAGCCCTTAGTGTATGTCATCAGCTTCCACTATGGCAGGATTCACCAAAGGCTGTCTCCCTACTAGTGGAAAATTCCATTAGAGCAAGAATCATGTCTTAGCTGGGCGCTGGTGGCTCCCACCTGTAATCCTATCTACTCAGTCCTTTTGCTTTTGTTTTTTTTTTTTTTTTTTCATTTTTCTTTTATTATTCATATGTGCATACAAGGCTTGGTTTATTTCTCCCCCCTGCCCCCACCCCCTCCCTTACCACCCACTCCACCCTTTGCTTTTGTTTTTCAGATAAATTCTTGTGCTTTTGCCTGGGGACGGCTTGGGACCATGATCTTCCCTCCTGAGTAGCTGAGATTGTAGGCATGATTCACAATGCCTGGCCCCTACAGCTTGCTTATTTCAAAGGAAAAACTGTTGGTATGGACAGGCCCTTGACCTGTCCACTACACATGGCCTGATAGGATCCCAGGATAGGCCTGTGGTTTCTGTCTAGCCAGCCCTGCTGTGCACTTGGCACACGGCTGCCAAAACTGGCAGGCAAGGGTCCAACTGCACTCATGTCTGACAGAATGGATGATGTCAGTGCTGCATGTACTCAGCCTCCATTGTAACTTTTGCCACGCAGTGTCCCCTTGGTCCAGATGGCCTGTTCTGGCCCCTCTCCAGCAGCAGCAGGTGCATTTCTGCTGTGGCGGGTGTGAGGCCTGTGGCGGGCAAGTCTCATGCACTTAACTTTACAAATGGCACTTGGGGACCTTATAAAATTAAAAACTTGCATATATTTATTCAATGTAGATAATCTGGTGTTTTTGTTTGTTACTTTTTTGTTTTGAGAAAGGGTCTTGCTCTGTAGTTCAGGCTAACCTTGAACTTGCTGTGTAGCCAAAACTGACCTCCAACCCTCGATTCTCCTACCTCAGGCTTCTAAGTTCTGGGGTTACAGGCGTGTACCACCACGCCCAGCTTGAACATGTATAATCTGACAAAACTTTCAGAATTACCCCTTATAACATGAATATAACCAAGTCGACATTGTTACTCCTTTTCTTCAAAACAGGGTTGAAAAATACAGGCCAGTAAAGTTGAATGAAATAGTGGGGAATGAAGACACAGTCAGCAGGCTGGAGGTGAGTGACTCCACACAGCCATCTGATATCTTTATTTTTATTTATTTTTTTGGTGGCACTGGGGTTTGAACTCAGGATCTCATGCTTGCTTGGCAGGTGCTCTTACTGCTTGTACTACACCACCAGCCCTTTTTTTGTGATGGGTTTTCTTGAGATAGGGTCTTGAACTATTTGCTGGGCTGGTTTTGAAACTTGATCTTCCTGGTCTCTGCCTCCTGAGTAGCTAGGATTACAGGTGTGAGCCCCGGTGCCCGGCTAGATGAACTATTTTAATGAACCTCTCTCTCTCAGGTGTTTGCCAGAGAAGGAAACGTGCCCAATATCATCATTGCTGTGAGTACTCGCTCCTGCTGGGGACATCCTGGCATCTCATGTCACTCCCCTCTTACATGCTGCTGTCACTCGGAGCCTTCTGCACAGGCTGTGTGTCACGGGCTGGATGGATGCGGGATGTGCTATGGTGGGGCGGGAAGTCCCTGGGAGCATGTGCTGGCTGCCTGGTCTGGGTCCTTGTGCTGTGAGCCACTCACCAGAGCCCTTGCTCCCAGGGCCCTCCAGGCACTGGAAAAACCACCAGCATCCTGTGTTTGGCCCGAGCCCTGCTGGGCCCAGCCTTGAAGGACGCCGTTCTGGAACTCAATGCCTCAAATGACAGGTGTGTGTCCCCGTGGCTCTACGGAGGTTTTAAAGTCCCCGTGCAGGTAACTGAATTTGTCTCAGAAGATGGTAGTAAGGATTTATTCTGCTTTATTTCTTCAGGGGCATCGATGTAGTGAGGAATAAAATCAAAATGTTTGCCCAGCAGAAAGTCACTCTTCCCAAAGGCCGGCACAAGATTATCATTCTGGACGAGGCGGACAGGTGCCAGCTCTGCCAGATGCATCCCGGGCCTTATCAAATCTGGAGAAAAAGCCCCTATCACATCTTCAGAAAGCAGTTCGATAGGACATTGAGCCTTAAACCTTTGTGTTTTGTTTTGTTTTGTTTTGGTGGACTGGGATTTGCACTCAGGACTTTGCACTTGCAAAGTAGGCGCTCTACCACTTGAGCCACTCCTCCAGTCCATTTTGCTCTGGTTATTTGGAGATGGGGTCTCAAGAACCATTTGCCTAGGCTGGCCTTGAACCTAAATCCTCCTGATCCTCCCAGGTAGCTAGGATTACAGGTGTGAGCCACTTCTTTTTCTTTCAAAAAGAAGATGTGTGCCCATCTTCTTTTTCTTTCCTTTTTTTTCGGTACTGGGGTTTGAATTCAGGGCATTGAGCTTTCCAGGCAGGTGCTCTACAGCTTAAGCCCCCAACCCCAATACCTCCACCCTTTAATGGGTCGTCCTACTCCATTCTCCTGGCTGGGACTACAGGTGTGCCTCCACTGTGCCTGACTGCAAATGTAGGTTTTATTTTTAGTCGTGTGTTTGTGAGCATAGAACTCCTTTCTTTGTTTCTTCCTCTGTCTGTCTGTCTCTCTGTCTATCTCTTTCTTTGAGGTACTGGGATTTGAACTCAGGGTCTCACACTTGCTAGGCCCTTTTTTATATTGGGTATTTTCAAGATAGGGTCTTGTGGACTTTTCACCCGGGCTGACTTTGACCCTCAATCCTCCTGATCTCTGAGTAGCTGGAATTATAGGTGTGAGCTACTGGTGCCAGGCTGTGAGCATAGACCTTAGCAGTTACACTTATTCATAGTATGGGTGTGTGTTACCTGTTTGTCTGTAACATGGCTTGTATCACTAATGGAAGCTGACATTTACTGAATCCCATGTGTTCATTTACAATACTCTAGGGACCCTCCTGAGCACTTCACATGTTACTCTGTCATTTGCGACATCCCTCCAAAGTAGATGGGACTGTCTCCATCTTACAGGATTCCCCTGTGAGGTCCCACAACCAGTAAACAGTGGGCTGCACGGCCCTGCTCTGGCTTCTGTGTGTAATCAGCCCCTGTGAGATCCAGATGGGGTCCCCAGCTAGGGCTGGGGCATGGCTCCGTGGTAGGGCACTTGCCTAGCATGCCGGAGGCCTGGGCCTCATCTCCAGTACCGCGAAAACAAGAAAGGAAAAATAGTTTCCAGCAGTCATTCTGATTCCTCTCTTGACTTATTTTATGTCCTGAAGGAATGAAGGGAGGGCCATGCTGGGATGATGTGACAACAGCCACTGTAGGTGGTGATATTTGTGACTTCACGGGAGGGCTGTTTCTGGATGCTGTCGGTGCAGGTAATGTCTGGGTCATCTTAGGCAGCTTTTGGCTTTTCCCACTTCATTTAATGGGGTGGTGTGCTCACTTCTGAAACCCTGTCCAGGCCAGTGGATGTGTCCAGAGTCCTAGGTTTCTGGGTAGTGAGAAGTTTGTCCTTGGACGTCCAGGTCCTCCGGTGCAAACTGTCTCTGTGTCTGTCCCTCAGCATGACCGATGGGGCCCAGCAGGCCCTGAGGAGAACAATGGAAATCTACTCCAAAACTACCCGCTTTGCTCTTGCTTGTAACGCCTCGGACAAGATCATAGGTGAGTGTGGCTGTGCACACGTGGTGTTCAGCTGGCCTTTTGGTTTTTATTTTGGTAGTGCTGGGAGCAGAACCCACGGCCTCATGCATGCAAGTAAGCTGTCTACCACTGAGCTACACCCACAGCCCCTTAGTTTCATGTTAGAAATGAGAAAAACCAAAGCCCAGAGAGGTTGCCTGGTTTTCCCAAAGTCGCACAGCAAGTGGAGGAGCTGGGGTTGGAGCCCCAGGTCCGTCTGGCTCCTGTGATCTTGTGGGCCCTCATGACTTCTTTCATATCTTGAGTGCCACCTTCACTGTCCTCCAAATGGACTGTCATAGTTTTGTGTGCCCCAAGTACTTGGTGTGGCATAGTCTGTGCTTTGGGCTTGGTCAGCACCAGGAATTGCATTGCGGTGAACTTTTTTTTGTTGTTGTTTTATGGAACTGGTATTTGAACTCAGGACCATCACCTTGAGCCACTCCACCAGCCCTTTTTTGTGATGGGTTTTTTCAAGATAGGGTCTTGCAAACTATTTGCCCTGGCTGGCTTTGAACCATGATCCTCCTGATTTCTGCCTCCTGGGATGATAGGTGTGAGCCACTGCACTCAGCATCCTTGTAAACTCTTACACACCAGTGTTCTGTGTGTCCTCGGTGTCTGTCCTTGCGGCTCCCTGACTCTTTCAGCAGCCGCTTCTGTGGGCCTTCCCCTCTTGAGTGCACCAGCTCCCTGCCTGGTATAGCCTGTGTCTGCCTCTCTCTCGTGGCCCTCTCGTCCAAGTCTCACTTCTGCTTTGCTAAACCCCAGCTGTTTGAGCCCCTGTACCCCACCCACTTCCCCTTCTGTACCCGCTTGGCGTGCGGCCACAGACAGTCACCAAGCACCTTACCAAACTCCACATCCGGCCAGACTAGTCTGCTCCGTGTTGCTGGGAGTCCTGCATGTTCTCCCTCCTTCCCCTTGTGGCCTGGAATTTGCTCAATCATTTACCCTACCTTCACCAAACTCCCCCTGGGACAGCATTGCATGCTTGGGCCAATTTTACAGAGTTTGGTGACAAATCTTTTCCTGCAGGATGGCAGCAGTGTAGTTCAGGGAAAGTTCTCAATTTAGGGAATGGGGCCACAGCTCAGTGGTAGAGCACTTGCCTAGGATGTTCTGTCCTGGGTTATCTGGGTTCCATCCCAAGCGCTCCAAAAAAGAAAGCTGAGCACCCATGATCATGCCTTAATCCCAGTTACTCAGAAGGTAGAGATCAGGATATCGTGGTTTGAAGTCAGCCCTGGGCAAATAGTTTGAGACCCTGTCTTGAAAAAACCCATCACAAAAAATGGCTGGTGGAGTGGCTCAAGTGGTAAAGCACCTGTCTAGCAAATGTGAGGCCCTGAGTTCAAATCCCAGTACTGCCCCCCAAAAAAAAGGAAAAGAAAAGAGAGAGATGTTTTCTTTGAAGAAGGCCATGCCTGCTAATGCTTTGGAGAACCTGCCTGCTTTGAACTGAGTTCAAACCCTACTCCCGCCAAAAAACAAAACATTTTTTCCTGTCGGTTGCAAATGTATTAACATAAACAGCATTTTTAGGAAGGCCAGCATGGTGGCCACACACAGGCCAGAGAGTAACCATGCTGGGACCTGAATGCCAAAAAGAAGCTGCTGTGTTAAGTCAAGAAACCGCCTGTGGAGTTTTAGTTACTTTTTATTTTATTGTTGCAGTATGGGAGTTCGAACTCAGGGCCTCTAGTTTAGTAGGCAGGCCTCTCCCAGTTAAGCCATGCTCGCAGTCCTTTTGTGGGTGTCCCCTGGCCTGGTGAGCTTTGATTGTCCCAGAAGGGGCTGACATCCGGCCTGCTCTGTGACTCTGAGTCCACTGGGCTGGCTGTGACAGCATTGAACTTGTGCTGGTTTTCTGACTGGCCGCAGCTATGCCAGGCAGTGTCAGCTGAAGCCTCTGTCATTGCTTCTTGACCCTGGTCTTCGGGTCACTCCTGAGCATCTGTGGGTTAGGCAGCTGTGTCCCTGTGATCAGGAGCTGGCCTTCTGAGCAGGCCTCACCCTGCCATCTCTCTCCAGAGCCCATTCAGTCCCGGTGTGCAGTGCTGCGTTACACTAAGCTCACAGACGCCCAAGTCCTGACAAGGCTCATGAATGTCATCGCAAAGGAAGGAGTGCCATACACAGACGACGGCCTTGAAGCCATCATCTTCACAGCCCAGGGAGACATGCGGCAGGTGCGTGGGCTGCTGCCCTTCTAGTGCCAGCCTCACTCTGGGAAGAGAGAAGTGCTGTACCAAGTCCAGCCCGAGTGGGGACTGTGGGCTACCTCCCTGGGAATCCAAGAGGAGAGGTGGGGAAGGGTGGGGGTGTCACAGTCACCCCTTATGTCTTTCTGTCTCTCCCCAGGCACTGAACAACCTGCAGTCCACCTTCTCTGGATTTGGCTTTGTCAACAGTGAAAATGTGTTCAAGGTACCAGAGCTGTGAGGGCCTGGTCACAGTGGACCTGTGCATCCAGGTGTTGTAGCCACGCCTTAATCCCAGCACTCAGGAGACAGAGGCAGGAGGTTGGAAAGTTCTGAGCCAGCCTGGGCACTGGTGATTTACACCTGTAATCCCAGCTACTAGGGAGGCAGAGATCAGGAGGATCATGGATGGAGGACAGCCTGGGTCAGTAGTTCGAGAGACCCTATCTCAAAATATCCAACACAGAAAAGGGCTGGGAGTGTGACTCAGGTGGTAAAGCACCTGCCTAGCAAGGATGAGCCCCTGAGTTCAAATCCCGTTACTGCCAAAACTAAAAAAATAGACCATAGCAATGAACGTGTTACCAGAGATCCTCAGGAAGGAGAAAGTTGCCTGGCAACGAGTAGATGGTTCAGGCCCGGTGTTGTCCTGTGCAGCCACTGAGAGTAGGGTTCAATAAGGAGGAGGTGACAGGGCTGGGAGAGGGCGTCATTATAGAAGGTCCTAGAGGGCAGAACCTGGGGCAGTCTTGGTTGCAGGGAGTGTGAGCCACCAGTGTCATCCTCCAGGTCACCTCCTTCGTGTCACGCTGAGGCTGGAGAACCCTTGCAGGGAAAGCCAGTTCCTACTCCAGGGGACAGATGGGCCCAGATGTCCTCCCTGTTCTCCAGTGGGTCCCCCGTGGTTCTGGGCACACCACCCCCAAATTCCCCAGTCAAGACTGACACATCCACATGGGATGAGGAATTTGTATCGGGGTGTTGGAAGCTTTGTTCTCGGGGCTTTGCTCTTTGGTAGGGAGGGGACGTTCTGCTTGCTGGGGGATTGGTGGGAACCAAGGCCCAGCCTGGTGGGCTCCTGATGCCTTTTCTCCTGTGTGCTCAGGTTTGCGACGAGCCACACCCGCTCCTGGTGAAAGAAATGATTCAGCACTGCGTAGACGCCAACATCGATGAGGCCTACAAGGTGGCTGCCCTGTCCTGGTCCCCAGCTGCCTCCCGAGGGCCTTGCCAGGCTCTGCCCGTCACTGTGCTCAGTTCTTCCAGTCATTGTCAGATTCAGTGACCCACAGATGGTGGATTCCTCACCCTGGTCACACTGAAAGCAGTAGGCCAGGAACTGAGCATCATGTCTTTCTGCTGTATTTATGTCCCTTGCAAGGGAAATCTGTCACCTGAGGCACAAGGAAAGACCAGCCCAACTCCTCCACTGATGCCTTCTTCCCTTGGATAGGGGTGACACATCAACCTCTGTCCTGAGAACATGAGAACCAGCATTCCCTGGCCAGCTGGGAAAGGGACCAGGCGGATGCTAGTGTCATTTTAGGACCTGCTTCTCTGAGGCTCCTTTGGCAGTTATGGGACTTCAGACTGTTGGTCTGACAGCCTGATGACAGGTTTCCCTCTCCTCTGCCCAACAAACCAGGTTGGAAGTGACTGGGTGTATGGCAGGTTTGACCTAATGGGAAACACAGGGAGACAGGCAGAGCTGGGGTCCAGAGGCAGGTCACTGAGGGCTTGAGGGAAGCCTTCAGGTGGCCCTGGGTGTAGGGGTGAAGCTTTCCTTCCTCCAGGTGCCAAGGCCAAGAGAGGCGCCTCCAGACCCCCTCTCTGGGTGGGGCCCATGTGGTGAGAGGGAGAAGCAGGAGGTGACACATCCGTTAGCCAGGCTTGGGGTGGGCTTTGTCCCCAGAGGCAGTGACAGGACTGGAAGCAGAGAAAGCTGGTGGGGCTGTTGGGCCTGGAGGCTCTGGCCCACCATGCAGGCCACTTTGCAGCATCAGTGGGAACAGTCGCCACTCTGTCTCTGACTCCCATGGTTGGAATAGGTCACACTAAGGTGTCTGTGAGACCGGCAGCCACTCCAGGGCAGCCAGGTGGTTCCCAAGGCCACATGGGTCCCTGAGCTGGGTGAGCCAAGGCTTCCTTGCTGTGAGAGGCCCAAGTCCACTCAGACTGGCTTCCACTCCCAGGCGACAGTGTCAGAGCCTTGTACTTCCTTTGCCTAGATCCTCGCGCACCTGTGGCACCTGGGCTACTCCCCTGAGGATGTGATCGGTAACATCTTCCGAGTGTGTAAAACTTTCCCGATGGCCGAGTACCTGAAGCTGGAGTTTATCAAGGTGGGTCAGAGCATGGGGTCCCCGTCCCTGCAGGGGACCTGCCTGGCATGGCTTTCTTCAGCGCTTACGGGCCAAGCCCCTTGAAGGTGTTCCCTAAGAGTGCCTTGGGTCGGGGGTGGCTGATTGTTCTGAGGGCTGAGTTTGTTCCACCTGGTCAGCAACCCAGGTGTCCTTTGGGGTGGCTGTCATCATTCACAACAGGTCCTCTAATGCACTGATCGTGGTGCTGGGCCTGGATCTGAGGTCTGGGGCGTGGTCCTTTCTATACATCCTGCTGATAGCATTCAGTCAACGCCACTGGAATTACAGGCATGTGCCACCATGCCACCTGTTACTGAGTTTTGAGAGCTCTTTATATATTCTGAGTGTAAGTCCTTCATCAGATACTCATATGTGTTTTGTATGTATTTTCTTTTAGCCTGACTTTTTTTTTTTTTATTAGTATTTTATTTATTTATTTGGCAGTACTGGCTTTTGAACTCAGGGCTTTGCACTTGCTAGGCAAGTGACCACTTGAGCCACTCCCTCAACCTTTTTTGCTTTATTTTTTTTTCCAATAGGGTCTCAAGTTTATGCCCAGGCAAGCCTGGACCTCAATCCTCCTATTTACACTTCCCAAATAGCTGGGATTGCAGGCGTGCACCATCACAAGCCTTTTATTGGTTGAGATGGAGTCTTGCTAACTTTTTCTTAGACTGGGCTTCAACCTCAGTCCTCTCAGTCTCCACCTCGCTCCCAAGTAGCTAGGATTGCAGTGTGCACCACTGTACCTGCAACTGACAGTGATTTTTGTTTGTTTGTTTTATGGTGCTTGGGTTTGAATTCAGGACTTTCACCTTGAGCCACCAGTCCTATTTTGTGTTAGGTATTTTTGAGATAGGATCTCATGAACTGTTTGCCCAGGCTGACTTCGAACCTCTATCCTGCTGATCTCTGCCTCCTGAGTAGCTGGGATTACAGGCGGAGCCACTGGCACCCAGCAACAGTTTTTTTTTTTTTTTTAATCAGTATCCTTTTAGGAAATAAATTTTAGCTAAACTTAATTGATCGTATTTTAGCACTCATCTTCCAGTTGATTTTGAGTTCATTGTGTTTATTTTGTGTGCTATGAGTTTAGAGGAAAAGAAAAAGGTGATTAGCTGGTTGCTCATGCTTATAATCCCAGCTATTTGGGAAGCAGAGATCAGGAGGATCACAGTTCAAAGCCAGCCCAGGCAAATAGTTCTCAAGACCGTATCTTGAAAAAACCCATCACAAAAAAAGACTGGTGGAGTAGACCCTTAGTTCAAATTCCAGCAACACATACACAAAAGACCTCACTAACCTGATTTCGATTTCATTTTATTCTGTTTTTTTCAGGAAATTGGATACACTCACATGAAAGTGGCAGAGGGCGTGAACTCCCTTCTGCAGATGGCTGGGCTCCTGGCCAGGCTGTGTCAGAAGACCATGGCCTCAGTGGCCAGTTAGAGTGGAGATGGCCTGGATGAAGGTGGTGCACTCCTGTAATCCCGGCATTTGAGAGGCTGAGCAGGAGGATTGCGAACTGGTCAGCCTGGGTTACAGAGCAAGACGTGTTTCAAAAAAAAATAGTCCTCATCCCTGAAATGCTGGAATCGCAGCCTTCTGATGGGGGAACCGCCTTAGACTGGCACTAGGAACGCCTGACTTTAAACTCCAGTGGCTTCCATGTCCTCTGTAGCACCTCTCTGTTCTCCAGGTGACTGCCTTCCACCTAAAGCCAGGCTCAGGGCCAAGGCTGAAGCCTCCTCTCTGGCAGTGTTGGCATTTTACCCAATAAAGCCTCAGGGTGCTTGTTTTAGGATGATGTCTGACTACTTAGGGCCTCAAGAAAAACCAGTGGCCTGCCTCTGCTGCCCATCGCATTCCACAAGTAAGAAGGTGACGAATATTGGATCGGCTAATCTCAGTTTTTCTAGAAGCCTAGAGGGACCAGTTCCATGGTAAGGGCAGGGCTTGCTGCAGTTTCCTAATGTTTAAGAAGACTTCTCTGGAACCAGCCCTTCAGGAAGGGCTTGGTCCCGGGTGTGGTGGTGTATGCCTGTAATCCCAGCACTCCAGAGACTGAGGCAGTAGGATTGAGAGTTCCAGGCCAGCCTGGGCTATAGCAAGACCCTGTCTCAAGCAGGGCACCAGTGGCTTACACCTGTAATCTTAGCTACTCAGGAGGCAGAGATCAGGAGAATCGCAGTTTGAATAGTTTGTGAACACAGTCTCAAAAAAAAAAAAAAATTACAAAAAAGGGCTGGTGTAGTGTCTCTAGTGGTAGAGCACCTGTCTAGCAAGTGTGAAGCCCTGAGTTCAAATCCCAGTCACAACAAAACTTGAGAGAAATATAAATAAATAAAAAAGGTTGGGAGGGATCAGGTGCAGTGGTTCACTCCTGTAATCCCAGCTACTCCCGAGGTGGAGATTAAAAGAATGGAGGTCAGGCCCAGCCCCTTTGAGAGAGGCGTTGGAGATTTAGCTTAGTGGAAGATCACACCTCGCAAGTGCAGGGCCCTGAGTTTGCTCCCTGAGACTGAGGGGGAAAAAAAAAACCAACCAAATTTTGAGACCCTATGTCAACCAATAAAAGCTGGGCACGTACCTGCCATCCCAGCTGCACAGGAAGTGTAAATAGGATTGTACTCCAGGCCTGCCTGGGCATAAAGGGAGTCCCTATTTCTAAGATAAAGCAAAGAAAAAGGGCTGGTGACGTGGCTCAAGTGGTAGAATAAGCATGAGGCCCTGAGTTCAAATCCCAGTGCTGCCCCCCAAAAAAGATAAAAGGATTTGCAGGGAAAAGCAGACATGGGAGAATCATCGAAATTAAGCTAAAATAGTTTTTATTGAGACATTTCCAAGGGAAGAGGCATTTTGTTTCCCTGAGGTTACTTCTGGCCCACTGGGGCTCTGTGTGCCCTGCCGTTCCCCCAGCCAGCCATGTTTTATCCTGTGAGCTCATCCAGGCCAGGCTGGAGCCCAGGGTCCCAGGGCAGCAGAGTTGGGCCCATCCCATTCCGATTTCAGCAGTGAATAATTTCCACTGCAGTGTATCACGACGGCTCTGGCCTCTTTCCTCCTGAATAAACAGAAGGCAAAACAAGGAGAACTGGGCCCCCTGTTACCAGTCCACTGAGGTCACCTACGTGTAATGCTTTCCAAGAGACAGGAATCCAGAACATTAAATACTGTTCTACCTACATAAGTTAACTGTACAAGCTGAACAATCATTTTTTTAAAATTTCCAGAAACCAACATTCGTAAGTAATGAGAGTACAAAGCAAAAAAAGGACGGAAGGCCATGTGTGGTGTGGCATGCCTGTAATCCCAGCTCCCAGGGCAGCTGAGGCAGGAGGACTGAGAATTCTAGAGCAGCCTGTCTCAAGAAGAAGAAGAAGAAAAAGCTGGGGCACATTGGTGCGTACCTGTAATCCCAGCTACTAGGGAGACAGATTGGGAGGACAGGATGGAGGTCAGCTAGGGTAGAGTTAGTGAGATCCCATCTCAACTAACAAGCCAGGCCTGGTGGTGCATGCCTGTGACCCCAGCTACTGGGAGGCTTAGGTAGGAGGATCATGGGTAGAAAGGGAGACCCTATCTGAAAAATAACTAAAGCAAAAAGGACTGGGCGTGTGGTTCCAGTGGTCGAGCGCTGGGGTGCAAGGCCCTGAGTTCAAGTCCCAGTATGGGGGAATAGACACAAATGCCATATTGTCAGTGTTTTAGATACAAGGGCTGGCGGAGTGGCTCAAGCCCTGAGTTCAGATCCCAGTGCCACAAAAAAAAAAAAAGAAAAATTCCAACTTTTTAGATTCGGGGACTGGGGTGCAGCTTCCCCAAATCCTAGGCATCCAAGGGCATCAGGAGTCATGTGCCACCAGACCCCTGCCCTGACCCAAGGTCATTCAGGGCAGGGCAGAGGGCAAGGCCAGGGGTGAGTGTGGGGTGTGGCTGTGGCCATTCCCCATGTGTGACTTTCCCAGGCTTTGTCCCTTGGGCCAGGGTATCTTGGTGGCCTTCCCGGAATAGCCATGGTCAGGGCTGAAACTTGAGCGCTGCTGGAAAACAATCCTTGGGAGGACAGAACTCATCCTGAGGTCGGGGTTCCTCAGCTCCTTGGATAAAGAGGAAGAATTTGTCACACTAGTACCGCCACTTGGAACCAGAGGGTTGCTGTATTCAGGTGCCCTCCTGCTTTCTGGGGAGACCAGATTCCCCCCATCTTAGAAGTCCGAGCTGTGGCAGGATTTGAACTCAGGGCCTCATGCTTGCTAGGCAGGCACTTTAGCACTTGAGCCACTCCACCAGCTGTTTTGTATTGGGTTTTTGGAGATGGGGGGGTCTCTCGATTTGCCTGGGCTGGCTATGAACTGAAATCTTCCTCTCTGCTTCCTGAGTAGCTGGGATTATAGATGTGAGCTACAGGCACCTGGCTTGAATGTAAATTCTGCTGTATCAGCAATCTGTGACAGTGAACGCTGCTGCATGAATGGGGTGGGTGGGGATGGTTCTGCCCTTTTGGCTCCTGCTCTCCAACAGCCCTGGGCCTGCGTATTTGTCCCTAGCTGCCCACCAAGGTGATGGATGGATGGGTGGATGGGTTGGATGGGTTGGATGGGTGGATGGTCCACATCTCCCAGGTCAGGACTCAGCAGGCTTCCAAGGTCCCCGCATGATCCTAGGCTGACTGCTGAGGTTCTCATCCCCTCCCCCTTACTGTGTGACCTTGGGCAGGTGGCTTGGCCTTTCTGTGTAGTGTGTGGCCAGGTGCCAGTGGCTCACGACTAATCCCAGCTACTCAGGAGGCAGAGATCAGGATCGAGGTTTGAAACCAGCCCAGGCAAATAGTTTGCAAAAGCCTATCAAAAAACCCATCACAAAAAAAGGGCTGGTGGAGTGGCTCAAGCCGTAGCAAGCATAAGGCACTGGGTTCAAATTGCAGCGTGTATGTGATTGACAACAACAGTGTCCACCTTGTGCACACCCTCCCTTGGTGTGTCCTCTCACCAAGTCCACTGAGGCAGGGAAGTGGAGCAAGTCGGCTCCTGTGGGTGCTGCACACAGCCCATCCAGACCCCATCGGGCTCCATGCTCTTCCTGGACTGGGGCCCAGGAGCAATGTGAGGCCTCAACCCTCAGCCCCAGGTCGGTGGAGGACACCATACCTTCCTTCCAGGTCTCCCTAGACTTCAGCAACTGTCACTACGTCCCCGTTCACATAGTCCGGCTCCCCGTCGTCATCTGGGCTCCCTGCTGGGGGCAGGTGTGCTGTTCTCCTGACTTGCCCTGTGGACCAAGGGACACAGTTCTCTCTGAGCTACTGTCCCCAGCCAGGGTGCCTGGGACCCCAGCCTGCAGGACGAGTCACACTGCACGGGACTTGGTGGCGGGTCTGTCTGTCTCTGGGGTTTGCCAGAGACGTTTGTGTGCAAAGTAGCCTTGTCCTGGAGCTGGATGGGGTGGCCAGTCCTGGAGGCCGAGCTGCCATTCAGGGAGACCTGGGGGTGCAAGGCCTCTAGGGAAGCCCACCCGGCCTACTTGACAGCCCACGTACCCATGATCCTCATGGACTCCTGCCACTGGTGGATGGATGCTGAGTTCTGATAATCTTCACACTCCTCTATGCCTGCGGGGACCAGGAGGACACAAAGGAGGGGCTCAGCCATCCAGCCAGTCCTCAGGGCCAGCAGGGTGCAAGCCCACCCGACTGAGGCCCAGTGAGGGAGGACAGGTCCTCTGTCATCAGGAGCCTGTGGGCCTCCTCCCAGGACACTGGACAATGCCCAGATATGGAGAACCTCTGAGCAGCCAAGTCCAGTGGCTCACGTCTATAATCCCAGCTGCTTAGGAGGCAGAGATGAGTCTCAAGGTTCAAAGCCAGCCCAGGCAAATAGTTCTGGGAGACCCTATCTCAAAAATACCCATCACAAAAAAAGGGCTGATGGAGTGGCTCAAGGTGAAGGCCCTGAGTTCAAACCCCAGCATCACAAAAAAAGAAAAAGAAAAACCTCTGAGCTCCCAGGCAGTTGGGCTGAGTCTCAGGGACCTCACCTCTCCCAAGCACAGGTGGCCTGGACAAGGATGGCTGCGCCCCCGCCCCTTCCCCTGCCTGCATCCCCAGGTGGGAGAGCCTCACCTGACTCAGTGGTCCTTGGCTTACATATGAGCACATTCTCGTAAGAATTAGCATCATCATCGTCGTCGTCATCTGTAAGAGAAAGGAAGTGACATCCAGCCTGCAGGTGGCCCTGCCTGGCAGTCCTGGCTCTGCCTCCCACCTGGCCAGGCTCTCACTGGGGCCCCAAGGTCCTCTTCTGGACAAGCTGCTGAGGGGCACTGGTCAGCCTCCTGCAACCTCCACCCTGAGCTCCTTCCCTGTTGCCAAGGTCACGCCCAAGGTCACGGGGTGTGGGGGAGCAGGGGACTTCTCGGAAGGGGCTGCAAGTCAGGCACATGGTGGATGATGACGGATGGCAGGAGGTTGGGAGGCAAGGAGCAGTCTGGAGGGCCACTGGGGGCCTGGTGGCCGGGACATCTGGGGACTCTTCCAGATCCAGCAGGGCAGGCTGAGGGACCAAGGCTGGGTGTGGTACTTCAGAGCCTGGCACCCCTTATAATAGGGAAACTGAGTCTAGCCACGGCCAGACCCAGTGTCCATTTGTGATGAGAGGACTCCAAGAAGTGAGCCTGCGCCCAACTTCAGATGTGGCCGGGAGAAGACTTTTGTGACAGTGTGGCCCAGGCACAGGCCAGGCTGGGGACCTGGATTCAAGCACCTTGACCCTCAACTTCTCTCTGTAAAGTAGTAAAATCGAGGTTTTTTTGGGGTTTTTTTTTTTTTTTTTTTTGGCAGCACTGGGGTTTGAACTCAGGGCCTCACACTTGCTAGGCAAGTGCTTTTACTGCTTGAGTCACTCCTCCAGCCCTTTTTTGTGATGGGTTTTTCGAGATAGGGTCTTGAGAACTATTTGCCTGGGCTGGCTTTGAACTGGGAGCCTCCTGACCTCTGCCTCCTGAGTAGCTGGGATTACAGATATGAGCCACAGTGCCTGGCTAAACAGACCTTAAGGGCTAAGTAAGGGCTCAGTGTCTGTCGGAAAGCTATCCCAATTCATGTGCTATCTGTCCTTATCAGGAGCCGGTCAGCCCTGGTGACAAGGACTGGACACCCTGTATGCCGTTCCCCCAGTTCCCTTCTACCTCCTGTCCCCTCCCTCCATCCTGTGTTCACCCTGGTTATTCTACTGTCTGTCATACCCACCTCAGCTCCTGCTGCAGCAGCCTCTGCCCCCAGGCTCATCTCTGCTGTTCCCTCAGGCCTGGGCCCTGCCTCCCTCCCCAAGTCACTTCCTTCTACTCCACCCACCCACCTGACCCCCCCCCTCACCTTCCAGGGGCTTCTGGAAGCGTCCCCAGTTGTAATAGTCTGCAGCAATGAGGTCTCTGGCCAAGAACATCGCGTAGCACAGGTTGCTGGGCAGGCCCGTGTCAGGGTGGGGACCCAGTGACTCCGGCCATGGTCAAAGTCTCCCCTCCGATCCTCCCTCCCCACTCCCGATGCTGGAGGGTGGTAGCCTGGCCCTGGATGACTTGTGAGGTGACCTTCCAATAGTCCCCACCTGCTTAGCCCATTTGTGAGATGGGACACACTGGGGGTGGGAGTGGAGGACTTTCTCTTTGGGGTGGTGGGCATCCCTGTAATTTGTTTTTCTTTTTTTGTTGTTTTTTTGGGACGGGCCAGGATGGCCTCGACCTTGAGATCCTCTAGCCTCAGCCTCCTGAGGGCCAGGATTACAGGTGTTAACTACCCTACCAGGCTTACAATTTATCTTTGACTGCATGACATAGAATAAGTCCCCTCCCAGATGGCCCCTTTCCTAGAACAAGGTGACAGCCCAGTCCCACAAAGCCATGACCACCTGAGGGGGTGGAAAAAAAAAAACACCACCCAGAGCTGTGTACTACTAGTGTGGTTGTGGTTCATGGTTCATAGATAAGAAAGCTGGGGACAGTGGCAGTTGGGGACAGGGGAGGGTGGCAGGACAGGGAAAAGGCCACTCACACATAGGCTGCATCTGGCTCACTTCGGCTCCCTGGCGGAGGTGGTGAGAGTCAGGCCTGAGATCCTGGACTTGCCCCACCATGTCCCCCCCTCTCCCCCCACCCCCGGAGCCACCCACCTTTGCTGAAGTTCTGGTACCTCGGGGACGCAGGATCTAGAAGACAGACTGGGCTCATCCTCCCTCCTGGTCCTGCCCCCGCCCAGCTGGGGATCCACAGCCCAAGGAAGGGCCCAGGGGATCCAGGCGTCCACAGCTTTGTACGTTTCTGTCCCCTCTGTCTCATCAGGAGTTCACCTGCCCAGCCCCCCTCAGCCAGGCCTGCCCCGTTGACCCTGTCACTCACCCTCGAGGTGGGAGGAGCAAAGCAGCTTGTCTTTCCTGGGGGAAGGGCAGGTAGAGGCTGAGAAGGGACCTAAGCCTCACAGCCCCTCGGGGTTCCCCAGAGTCCAGCCTTGGGCCAGGTAGGGAAACCCCTGGGCCCTAGTTCTCACTCCTGTGGCGCTCTGGTCCCCTTAGGGGACAGGACAAGGGACTCATTCTTACCTTTCAGGTGCCCCATCAGAGGCCGTGTCCAACAGGGGCCCTGGCCACTCTTGCCTGACAACTGCAAAGGGTGACAGGCAGTGTTGGCTGGGCCCCCAGGCCAGGCCACCCAACATAGCCTTCACCTCACCAAGTCAGGCCTGGCTCATAGCCTCAGGGAAATGGGGACAGAAGGGACCTTGACGTGAACCTCCCAACTCCAGCCCGGCCCCTGGACCCTTCAAAGGACTCACAGGAATAGGCCCGGGCCACGGAAAAGCTCTGCTGGTTTTCTTGCCTGGAAACACGAGGGGTTTTGCTCAGCCAAGGTCTGGCCTCTCACAGCCAAAGGGACAAAGGGACAGAAGGACGAGGACCAGAGAGAAAAGGGGTGGAGGAAGTGGCGCCAATTGCCCCTGACCTGTGTCCATGTCCTGGACCTGTCCCCCCGGGGTGCCCGCCCTTCACAGGGTTCATCACTGGAGCCCAGTCACCAGCCAGCCAGACTTGTTCCCAGCATGGCCTCAACATGGTGCCATTCCGCTCAGGACGCCCAGAGACAGGCAGGGAGAGGGGTCTGTTGGCAGGGCTGGGGACTTCACCCTGAGACTCTGGCACCAGAAGGATGTTTGGGGACCCAGTAGTGACTTGGAGGAAATGACTTCACCCGGAGTGACCCAGACACTGCCCCCTGGGTGCTGCTCATTCCTCGGGACCACCCATGCCCTCTGGGCATGTTCAAAGCCACCATTTACACCCCAGTAACTGGGGAGCCTTGTCAACTCTTAGCTATCCCTGGCCTCCCATTCTTATTTTGCATGTGTTTATAGGGCATCAGGTGCCCATCTAAAAGACTACACTTCCCAGCATCCCTTGCCCTTAGGTACTGCCACGTGATCAAGCTCTAGCCAATGAGATGCAAGCCATAGTTGATAGTTCCAAGGAACCTCCTTACAGGGGTTCTATCAGCTGGGCTCCACCCTTTATGTCCTTATTCCTTCTTTCTTCCTATTACTTGGAATGCAGATATGAGGGACGGTGCTCCAGCTGCCATGTTGGACCATAAAGTGGCCTTGAGAATGGAGCCAATTCATGAAAGCAGGTTTGGGGTTCCATCCTTGTAGCAGGATGGGTACCTGACCCAGCCTGCCAGGAGTTCCTGTGGGTCTGGAAACAGGGTGAGCTGATTCAGGACGGATGCCCTAAATCCTGAAGGAAGTCATTTGGAAGTTGGGCTTGACACACAGTGGCTTCGAGCAAGATGGCAGCACTGATGCCAATGGAGAGAGACAGAGGGGCAGGGAAAAGCCCTCTAGGGAAGGGGACAGTCCGTGTCCTGTCCCACCTCCCCACTTCACACATGGGAGGGTTACCCTCTGGCCCCTACAGTGTCTGGCTCTAGGACACTGGGGACTGGTAGGGACTGAGGCAGAGGGACCGGGGAGGTGCCCAAGGGCACTGGAGCCCAGGAGAAAGGGAGGGAGATTTCAAGTCAGCAGGCACATGGCCAAAACAGCCCGGAAAGCTGGAGGCCTGGCCCAGGGTGGGAGAGACGGGCTCTTCATTTTCAGATTTCACTGTGGTTTGTCCGTTGCAAAAGGAAATGAGGAAGAGAGAGAGAGAGAGAGAGAGAGAGAGAGCGAGCCGGGCTGGGCTGCATGTGTAGGTATCAGTTACAATTTTTTTTGTTTTGTGGTCCTGGGGTTTGAACTCGGGGCCTACACCTCGAGCCACTCCAGCAGCCCTTTTGTGTCGGGTATTTTTGAGATAGGGTCTTGAGAACTATTTGTCCGGGCTGGCTTTGAACTTGAGCCTCCTGAGTAGCGAGGCGAGAGCCACGGTGCCCAGCCGGTCACTCTTTCAATCACAGGCCATCACAGGCCATCACAGGCCACTTCTCTGGTGCACTTTGGCTCCATCTGGCACACAGAGCCACAAGGGGCCATTTCCCACTCACAGTCCTCCCTGCACTGCTCTCTGACCGCACAGGGACATGTCCAGCCCTTCCCGACCACCCGCTGCTCGCTGCCTGTGACCCTGTTCTCCCCAGCACAGTGGGAACCCCTGGATCTTGGGGCGGGGGGCTGGACAGTGGCAGTCCAACAGCCCAGGTGTCCCCGTTCTTCCTCTCCCACGGCTGCTGGGCACCACTACAGCCTGCCATGGGGCACAGGGTGAGTGAGGCACGGGGGACAGGGTGCCCCAAGGAGACGCCATGCCCAGAGCACAAAATTGAAGGTACCACGCAACTCACAGGTTTCTCTGCTCATAGATTTTCTCTGTCCTCTTCGCCCCTGTGGGAACAAGCCGAATTAGCCAGGAGTGCACCCCAGGCCTCCCCTGTGCTCCCTGGGCCGCCCACCGGTGGAGGGTATTGGCTTGGGTGTGGTAGCACCCACCTATAATCCCAGCACTTGGGAGGCTGGGCCACATCGTGAGGGAGGGAAAGGAGGGGAGCCCGCCCCTCCCTGTGGCCTTCCGCCACTCCCGTGTCCCCTACCTGGACGGGAGCAGCGCACGCAGAGCCCAGCTGTGGCCCCAGACAGCAGCAGCAGCAGGGCCACTCCCAGCCACAGCAGCTCAGTGTCCCCGCTCATGTTGGTCTTGGCGTCCCACCTGTAATGGGACACCATGGTCTGGAGGCCACAGGCCCAGCCCAACCCCATACTCAGGGTTTGACCCCACTGAGCCCTGACAGGCCCACAGCCTGAGCCCATGTCCCGTCAGCACCATACCCCGATTCTGTGCCGGGTGGGAGGAGCCTTGCCCCCCCCCCGCCATGTGACAGCAAGTCACACTCCCCATCACCCCTGCCATGGCCGGCCATGCTGGTGTGTCTGGAAGGTTCCAGGCCCACTGAGCACTGTGTGCTCATATACAGCCCTGGACGCCCACCCTGAAGCCACCCGGCCCTGTGAGTGACAGGCTGTCCCCCGTTCACAGGGAAACTGAGTCTGGGAGCCTTTGCACAGCTGGTAAGGGGAAAGACAGGATTCACACCCACCCTGCCCCCAGCTCTGGTTCTGACCACTGCATCCTGCCTGCTGCTCTGTCAACCAACTTGTCCCCAAGGTCAGGTCTGCGGTCCCCACTATCACTCAGTACCTGGGGGTCCTTCTCTGCCTCCCAGGAAACCTACCAAAGGGATTTTCTTTCCTGAGGCATTGAAAGCCTGTCATGGGAACTAGGGGAAGGAAAAGCAGGGAAGGCTTCTTGGAGGAGGTGTCCTTGAGAACCTCAGGCAAAGAAGGGTACCCTGCTGAAAGATGGGGCCTGAGGGATCTGCCCGAGATGAACTGGGGTGACCTGGAGGCCAGGCTGGAGTGAGGACCATGGAGTGAGTCCCCTGCTGGCACAGATCCCCTTCATGGTCCGTGGCTGGTCCCAGTGGTCTTGGTGAAGCCCCACACCACAACCTGGGGGCAAATGGAGGGACAGTCCTTCCAAGAAGAATTGTTATTAAGATGGAGAGGCTCAGCCCTTGTTGCTTGCTGCTGAGCGACCACTCTGTTTTCTCACGTCCTGAGACCCTGTGCCACCTCCCCAGGCTGCCCTGGACCTGGCTGTCCCCTTCACTAGCCCCTGTGGCCTCAGGCCAGCCTCGGAAGCCCTCTGAGCTTCCTGAGTTACTGTGGCAAAAGTGACAAGAAGTTTCCACATGGTGCCGGCCACAGTCCAGGGCTGTTGGGGAGAAGCCCCCCACCCCCGCTTCCCCAGGGCCAAGTGAGTCAGTCGGACGAGGGACTTCCCATGCCGGTGAGTGGCACGTCCCACGTTCCCTGACATGGTGGCAAGGCTCCCGAGCCCGTGCCATGTCAAGTCCATCTCAGAGTGTGACCTCCTGTCTGGAGGGAGGACTCCTGAGATCCAATCCTGGCTGTGCCTGAAAAGCCTTCCTTTGTGTGTGTGTGTGTGTGGTATGGGTTTGAACTCAGGGCCTTCACCTTGAGCCACTCCACCAGCCCTTTTTTTTTTTGTGATTTTTTTTTTTCAAGATAGGGTCTTTAGAACTATTTGCCTGGGTTGGCTTTGAACCGCGATCCTCCTGATCTCTGAGTATCTGGGATCCCTGAGTAGCTGGGATTACAGGCGTGAGCCACCAGCACGTGGCTAGCCTTGGTTTTAACATCTATAAAATGAGATGGATAGCTGGGCACTGGTGGCTCACGCCTGTAATCCCAGAACTCAGGAGGCAGAGGCAAGAGGATGGTGAACTCAAGGCTGCGTAACTAGACCTTCTCTTATTTAAAAAAAAAAAAAAGCTGGGCGCCAGTAGCTCCCACCTGTAATCCCAGCTACTCAAGAGGCAGAGATCAGGAGGATCACGGTTCAAAGCCAGCCCTGGGCAACAAAAACAGAAAACAGGTCTGAAGGAGTGGCTCACGTGTTAGAGCACCTGCCTAGCAAGCACAAGGCCCTGAGTTCAAAGCCCAGTGTCACCAAAAACAAAAACAAAAAATACAGGATTGATCCAGTTTTCCTCAAACTGTCACTGGGGCTGAGTGTGGTAGTTCACACCTGTAGTCTCAGCTACCCAAGAGGAGGGCCAGCCTGGGCGACATAGCGAGACCTTTTCTCAAAAAGACAACCAAAACCAAACCAAATAGCCGTCATGGGAGCGGGGATCAGTCTGCCCAGCCTGGCTTTCCTTCCTGAAGAGTCACTGGCTAAGACCTCGCTTCTGGCTGCCTGCTTTGGAGGTTCTATCTCTCCTGACCCCTGGCATCTTTGTCCTTCTGTCCCCGAAAGAGCTCAGGCACAGCCACACACCGAGTTCTGGCCGTGAGAGCAGGGTGTGGGGCCACCCGCCAAGCTCACGGTCTACACACCAGGAGCGAGTCCCAACTCCTGCTGTGGTGTCTGAGGCTGAGGGAGATGGCTGCTGACCTCTGCTGCCCCCCAGGACACCTCACGCCTTCCCTGTCCCTGGGGGGACAGAGGCCTCGGCCAACAGAGAGCCCATCTGTCACCAGACCTGCTGTCTTGAGGGCAGAGCTGGGCCTGGAGTATCCGTAGTGGGTCAGACCAGATTACGTCTCCTTATCTGTTGGGGGAAACAGTGACAGTGTCCCCTCGGGGCTGTCACATGAGGCCACACATCAAGAGGATGCATGCCATGGAGGGTCTGGCCTGGCATGACTTGTCACTGTCACTGTTCCTGAGCCCTGTGACCTGAAAGGCTCTGCTGGTGCTGCTTGGAGCCTGCAGCAGACACTGGGACACTGAGGGTGCAGACATGAGACCCGAGCCGTCTTCCACTCGCTCCCGTGGGCCCCTGGGAGGGGCTGCGGCTTAAAGAGAAGTAGATGTGGCTGGGTGCGGTGGTTTACAACTGCAATCCCAGCTACTCGGGAGGTGGAGATGGGAAGGATTGAGATTTGAGGTCAGTGTGGGCAAAAGTTATAGAGACCCCATCTCAACAAACAGGCAAGGCATGGTGAGGCCTGCTGAGCTATACATAGGAGGACAGTGGTGTGAGCTCAGCCCTGGGGGAAAAGCGGAAGACCCTATCAGAACAATAAGTAAAGCAAAAAGGGCCGGGGATGTGGCTCAAGTGGAGGCCCCGAGTTCAAATCCTGAGTAATGCCAAAAAACATTAAGGCAAGGGATGACTTTTCCAATGACACAGCTTCCATGGGAGATGTCGCTGAGCCCAGCCCCATAACGGGACACTCAGAGAGCTATGTACTGTGTCCCAAGGCCACACAGCAAGCGAGGCACCGAAGTAGGATTTGAACCCAGGGCAGGCTAACTCCCAGTTACCATGCTTCTTCCCTCCCGTTTAAGGCTACATTTGAAAAAAAATCACAAAACATTTTCAAAAAGAGACTCGTGTCTACCCCAGACTGAATCAATTCTGTCTCTGTGTCTGTCCTCGCTCTCTCTCACTTTCTTGTTCCTGCCCAGAGTGAGAACAGGTGGGCCAAGGGTGGAGAGAGCAGAGGCTGGAGCCTGGCAGGCCCAGGAAGGCCCCGAGGGGCCAAGGGACAGGGAGGGGCCGCCACAGCCCCACGGTTCTGCAGGCCAAAATAACCCAAAGGGAAGTAAGAACTTTCCAGATGAACAAGGCCGGCGCGCTGCGGGCGGGGAAACTAAGGCTGGGGGGTGCAGGCCCTGGGGCGGCTTATTCACCAGACACTGCTCTGTGACCTGTTGCTCGGTCCAAATAATTCTGGGGTTCCCATAAGGCTGGGGAGGGGCCTCTGACAGGGAGGCTATCAAGAGCCAAGTGGCCAGAGGGACAAGCTGCGGGCAGGAACCTGGCACCCCTTGTCCAGGGTCAGGGTGCCTGGGGTCTGGCCAGCCAGGCCACCTGTGAGCAGAGCTGGGCACAGAAGCCTGCTGTCCCTATGGCAGTCGCTCGCTCAGACCCTGGCAGAGCTGCAGGCTGGGTAGGATGCAGGGACAGGCGCGTCCACCCAGCCTGGGCAGAAGGCCACAGTTGCACTGTACAGATGGTGACACTGAGGCTGCCCTTTGCCACTCTCTGGCAGGGACAGGTCACCCCAAGGCTCCCCTAGACTGTGCAGGCTGGGTGAGAGATGGAAGGCCACCCCTGAGCACCACGGGGCCAAAAACGCCCAGGCAGAATCACAAGGTGGCCTGGCCTCCCCCCGCCATGGCCGCCCAGGGCTCCTGGGGCGTAGGGGGCACCTTGGGTCTCAGCCAGGCTCTGGGCACCCCTGAGAAAGGCTTACCTGAGAGTCGGGGGCTCCTCGCTGCGGCCGCCCCACCCTGCGCTGCACACCTGCCCGGCCAATGTCAAGGCCACAGACTCTGGGGGCAGCAGGCAAGGTGGTGGCTTCCTGTCAGCCCTGAATCATCCGCACACATCCGCCCTCTCTCTCTCTGTCTCTCTCTCTCTCTCTTTCGGACTGGCCGGCTACTGAGGGGGAGGAGAGGCAAAGGCGGGGGAAGAGAAGGAGGCAGAAGGGGGAGAGACAGAGGAAGACAAAGACAGACAGAGAGACAGAGGAAGAGGGAGAGAGAGAGACGCAGGACACCGCTGATGCACTCACACGAAAGGTCACTCACACAGGAAGAGACACACCAAGGGACGGCGAGAAAGCAAGCCACGGTGGTCACGTGGACACAGAGGCAGAAGGAGAGCGGGGGACGTGGACAGACACACAGAAACCCACATGCAGAGCTGGGGAAGCAGCAATGGAGAGACACAGAGAGGTGCACAGGCCAGATCCGGGAGAGAACGAGACAGACAGACGCAGTGCCACACAGAGGCGTCAGGAAGGCAGACAGACCCAGGGAGTCAGGGACAGGCAGATCCCAGAGGGTGAGACATGGGGGACAGGACCAGACACATCTCACGTGACCTACTGAAGATGGCAGGACAGAGTGGACAGCCACCAACATCAGAGGCAGCAGGACAGACAGCCAAGCCAAGGAATGTCACTGTTCCTCTGAACTCAGGAGTTGAGTGGCATTGCCACAGCACAGGTGCCCTGAATGAGTGACCTGGCACCTGGGGGACATGGATGGAACAGTAGCAAGTCCTGTGGCGTCAGGTGCCACTGGCTAGCAAACCTCCGCCAAGCCATCAACTATGCGTGGCCTCCCACGTGCCGGGGTCTTGTTGTAAGTTTGCTGTTTCAGACCCCAGGCCCCCAGCCCTGGGACACTGGCATGGGGCCCTCCTTGGCCTGAATCTGGGTTTCTTGTCCAGATTGGCTGTCCAGGGAGGTAGCAGTGCCCGCTGCTGCCACCCTGTGGTGCAGGAGGGCAGCGCAGCTTGGGGAGCAATGGCTGGGGACCGTGGGGGTGCGGTCAGGAGCTCACCCCACCCTTCCAGCAGGACTGAGTGAAGTCACTGTCATCTGCCTCCCAAATTGATAGCAGTGCTAGGAACCACCACACCCCCTGCCCGCTGGGCCCATGAACCATGTGTCCTTTCCACAGTGAAGGGAGAAGTGACAGAGGCCCGCAGAGGCAAAGCTGGACTCGAACCCAGACCCCAAAGTCAGTGGTCCCCACTGGGGCTATTTTCCTGGGTTCTCACATATCTGGGGATAAGCCAGTGTTGCCCCCCACCCCTGGACCCGTGCCTGGTCGGGGAGTACACTGGCAGTACTGGGCTTGAACTCAGAGCCCACCTTGTGCCGCTCCACCAGCCCTTTTTTTTTTGTGATTGGTTTTTTCAAGACAGGGTCTCTGAACTATTTGCCCCTGCTGGCTTTGAACTGTGATCCTTCCGATCTCTGCCTCCTAAGCAGCTGGGATTATAGGCGGGAGCTATAGGCTCCTGGTCCCCATCACCATTTTAAAGAGTGACACGTCTGTTACAGAAGCCAGTGTTCACAGGTGGGCAGTAAAACGCCAGCTCAGTGAGCAAATTCCAGGCTTGAGAATCCTCCAGGGTCAGCGTAACGTAAAGGCTGAGGAAAGCCATCCCTTACCCTGAGAAAAAGGCACCTTTTGAACCCACGACACAACTGAATCTAGAATGTTCCCTCATGTTCCTGCCTCCTCTACCCAAAGTGCTTTTTCTTCTGGTTTTGTCACCTAATGTGTATTTAGAAAGTGTCTTTTTTTAAAATATTGTTTTGGTGTTTTGAGACAGGGCCTCATTATGTGTAGCCTAGGCTGACCTAGAACTCACGGTCCTCCGCCTTAGCCTCCTAAGTGCTGAGATTGCAGGCCTGTGACACCACCCCCGGCCTTGTTTTTATTTTCATTTCTGCATTGCTGGGGATGGAACCCAGGAGCACGCCAGCTAAGTGATATATATACCACTGAGCCGCACTCCAGCCCTACAAGTGTTGAATTTCAGATAAGCAGCAGCCTGGAGCCGTGTCCCCTGCCACACTGCTCCGATCCTTTCACTGTGTGACTGCAGGCTCTGCAGACTGCCGTGCCAATATCCCACTGTCTGCAGCTTCTGCCCCAGTGGTAGACACTGGGAGGAGAGCCCTGGACAGTTCCATTTTCAAGTCAAGGTAAGAGCAGCAGAAACCCCAGCACTGTTGGCTGTTCTTTTTTTTGGCAGCACCAGGGGTTTGAACTCAGGGCCTCGAAGACACTCTACTTGAGCCACGTTTCCAGCCCTTTTTAGGGATGGTTTTTTTGAGATAGGGGTCTTGTGAACTATTCGCCCAGGCTGGCTTTAAACCGGGATCCTCCCGGTCTCAGCCTCTGAGTAGATAGGATTACGGGTGTGAGCCACTGGTGCCTGGCCTGTACCTTGTTTAAAATATTTTTTTTATATGATTGGATAATTTCTTGCGAGGGAGGTACTGGGAATTGAACCTATGGCCTCAGGGGTTCCTCCATGCTAGGCAAGTGCTCTACCACTCCCTGTAGTACATTAGGGATGAGGTCTCACGATGCAGCCCAGGCTGGCCTCCCTCAAACTTGTGAGCCTTCCTCACCAGCCTCCTGAGGGCTAGGATTATCGATGAAGTTTTCTTTTTTGGATAAGAAACCACTTTTAGCAGGCGTGGTGGTGCACATCTATAATCCCAGTGCGAGTCTGAGGCAGGATCACGATTTAAGGGCAGCCTGAGCTACATAGGGAAACCCTGTCTCAAAAAACCCAAGCAGTTGTTTTTGCCTCAGGGCCTGTGCAGGCCAGGCGAGCACTCTACCATTGAGCTGAACCCCCAGCCTCTAAAGTATGTTTAACTGGTGAGCATTTTTTTCCTTTTTTGGTGGGACTGGGGTTTGAACTCAGGGCTTTGCGCTTGCAAAACAGGTGCTCCACCTCTTGAGGCACACCTCCCGTCTGTATTTTTCTTGCTTTGGTTATTTGGGAGATTGGTTCTCACAAACTATTTGCTTGGGTTGACCTCAAATCTCGATCATCTGGAGCTCAGCCTCTCAGGTAGCTAGGATGACAGCTGCCTGGAGACACAGGCTTGCCTTTGTGACACTGCATGCTTTTACTTATTTGACGTCTTAGGGAGCTAGAGGGTGACTACAGATACGGGAAGAGGCTGAGTCAGTTTAAGTACAGCCTGGCAAAGGAAGGCAAAGAGCAGGTGCTACGAATGGGCGCATCCACGAGCCCATGACCTCTCCTAAGCAGACTCATCATCGCTGTTCAAGACGTGTAACTAAGAACCTTCATACTTGGGAAGCTGAGACTGGGAGGGCTGCGGTTCCAGGCTTGCCCAGGGACAGAGTTTGAGACCCCATCCCAACAAACAGCTGGACATGGTGGCAGGCACCTGCCATCCAGCTAAGTGTAAAACAGGAGGTTTGTGGTCCAGGCCAAAAAATGAGCAAAAAATGAGACCTTATCTCCAAAGCAGAAGAGAAGCCAGGCGCCAGTGGCTCACACCTGTAATCCCAGGTACTCAGGAGGCAGAGATCAGAATAGGCCACGAGAGCCTATCTCAGAAATACCTAACACAAAAAGGGCTGGTAGCCCCAGTACTGAAAAAAACAAAACAAAACCCAGCAGAGCAAAAAGACCTGGGGGAGTGGCTCAAGTGGTAGAGCACCTGCCTAGCAGTGTGAGGCCTTGAGTTCAAATCCTAGAACTGACAAAAAAAAAAAATATCTCCTGAAGAGAGCAAGCTTCATTGAGGCTTTTGTCCCACTGAGCCACCATGCGGGCCCATCCAACCCAACACAATGGTTGTTTCTCAGCTACCAGGATCCTAAGCTGCCCGACTTCCCCTCCCACCTCTATTCCAAATGATACTTGTAGGAGCTAGCAACCAAAAGTGAGGAACCTAATTCTCCAAACTTTCAAGATTGGAAGTGGACTCTGTCCACTCAAGTCTTCGGATGAGACCACAGCCTCAGCTGCCATCTTTTTTCCTTATGCCCATTTGTCTGTATTTTTGGCGGTACTGGAGGTTGAACTCAGGGCCTTCACCTAGAACCACTCCACCAGCCCATTTGGTGATGGGTTTTTTCAAGATAGGGTCTCTCAAACAATGGGCTGATGTCAAAACCTTGATCCTCCTGATCTCTGCCTTTCCAGTAGCTAGGATTACAGCATGAGCCACAGGTGCATGGCTTCTAATTATTTTTTTGACAAAAAATTTATCCACATTAAAACTGGTCAAGAAAAGACAAAAGGAAGAGTAAACCTCACCAAAGAAGCAAAAGCTTTTCTTCCTGCAGCCCAAATGATGACTGGCCCTTCACGCTGAAAGGGTCTTCTTTCAGGTGGGAGGTTTTGGGTTTTTATCCCTGCCTGAGAGGTAAAGTCACATTCAGGGTTAACTAATTAGCTCTTCTTATTCTTGCCCTAATCACTACTAAGCAGTCCCTTCCCAGAGAACACCAGGCCCACCTGTGAAAATCACTGATGGTGGATGGCAGGTGACAATCCCAACATCCCCACCACCCAGAAGGACAGCTAGCTTCCTTCCTCCCTGCCTCTTGCTCACCAAAACCAATGTGAAGAAACAAGGTATACAAGCCAGGCACTGACGCAGGTGCACACAGGAGGGTCAAGAGGAGGCCGCAGGGAGGCCCTGCTCCAGTAAAGGACTTTTCGCGTGGGGCTTCTCCGGGCACAGCCACCCTCAACTCTGTGGCTCACAGAAGGTGGCGAGCAGCCTTCTGTGAGTACTGTCCACAGGCAGTGTTGACAAGTGTCCACGGTCATACTACAGCGACATCTGGGGACAGGTCTGTCACCTGCATAGGCCCCAGAGCTCTGGAGAAGGCACCAGCATGACACAAGTCAGGCCACCAGCCCTGGGTATTTCTGTGTCAGAAAGTCATACTCCTCCACTTCAAGGGGCAGGGGTCCTCAGTGTTTGGGATCTCCTTGCCCGCAGAAGACTCCAGCAGGCTCCCCATCCTGTCTGGGAAATCTCTGAAGCCACTCCAGGCTCCCCTGCCTCCCCAAACCTGTCCACATTTTCTGTGCTGCTGGGGACCGACCCCAGGGCCTCATCATGCTTGGTTTCACCTCACTCGTGGGCTCACCTGTAATGCAGGCACTCCGTGCGACAGTGCTAGCTTAGCATGTGCCAGGCCCTGGGGCCCACCCCCAACACCACCAAAAACGAGTTCACTAAACCTGTCACCTCCACGACAGTATTTCTTGTGAAGTTCGATGTCTGCCAATGTCGTGAAGAGACTGAGAAGAGCAGAGCAAACATTACGTAAGGTTCTCTTTTTATTTAAAAGATCATTCACAAAATACCGTATTCCAGGTTCACTTTCTGTCACAGAGCTCATGTGTGAAGTGTCTGGAATTCCATTCTTACATTTAAAAGCCAACTGGTGGCCCAGAGTTTGGATGGGTTTGTTTTGTTCTGGAACTTTCCACACTGAAGATGTAAGTAGGCCGTCTGAAAGCATCAGGTTTGATCACGACCACAGAACGCATGTCTTTCTCGAGTTAGGTACTGGTGTTACACAAATGGTTCTTATCTCAGAAGCAGAGAAGATGGCGAGCGAGAGGAGGAGCGAGAGTTCTGGAAATTGCCGAGACCTTGCAACAAAGACAGATGAGAGCCAAGGATGGCGGCGGGGAGGATCCACTGTCTAAGCACACTGTGCTGCCAGCCAGAAGCCACTGGCCTCCAGCCACCTGGCCACTGCTCCCCCCGACAGACGGGGACTCAGGCACCAACGAATCTCCCATCTGCGCATGTGCAGGTGCTCAAGCTCAATGCCACGGTCTAATCCTTCCTCCAAAGGAGTGCTGGCACTGTCACAGGAGCAAGAGTGTGTCCCCAAGAGGAGGCCCCAAGTCAGGACACTCACGGTCATCTACGGTCACTGAGGGTTTGCATAGGAACACTTTCGACTGAGCAAGAGTGCCAGCGTCTGTCTAGGCCCACCTGTGCTGTGGATGAGGGGCGTGGGAAGCAGAGGCTCTCCTTACTTATACAGGAACAGATCCTGGGACACTGGGAGCAGCTCCAGCACTGCCCCTTGTCCCCACAGCACCTCAGCACGGAGGGAGGGGCAGGGAAAGGCGCTGGCGGTAGCCAGCCACCCCCAGCAGAGGAGCCTGTGCCACACCACATGAAGACCAGGCTGGTCTTGGACGAGCTGGACTGAACCGTGGGAGCACAGCTCTCCTCTGTGGGTCCACCCAGCATTCCACGCCCCTTACCCCCGCGCCCCTCACTGTTTCTCAAGGGACCTATTCTGCTTGGGCAGCCACCCCCTGGGGTGGGCATGGAGATAGGACCTGCAAGGATGGCAGGGCCAGCTCTGGATGCTGATTGCAGCTGGGTGCAGAGGTGTCACCTCTGCTCCTTCCCAGAGGCCACAGCAGCGCAGAACTCAGCATGCAGGATGGAGAGAAGCACCGAGAAAAGTCAAGGGAGCGGGGCAGGAACCTGGCCAGCGCGGCTAACACAAAGAGATGGCTACCTTCGTCTCTCCACACACCTGTGTGTTATGGAAAACAAGGAGGGAGAGAGGACAGTAGGAGATGGGGAGGAGAGGGAAGAAAGGAAAAAAGCACAAAACAGGCGCTAGGTAGCATAGCAAAGCCAAGAATGTGCTAGAAACCACTTGTTAACAGTGACATGCATTCATTCACAAGCTCCGTGTTCCGTTGAGAAAGGACAGTGTCAGGCGCGGGAATGGTGACTGCAGGGCGGCCGGGCCAGGCCACCGAGCTGAGGTCTTGCTCTAACTCCCCGCACCCCTTCCCCTTCCCTCCCCACCGCAAGCTCATTCCTGCCCTTTCTGGACAACTTCCTCTCTGGGCCGGGCTCCCCCGAAGATGGCGGAGTTGGGGTTGGCTACTTGGTTGAGGGGCGTTGCCACTGTCCGAGGTTTAAGCTGAAGTCGTGGTCTCTGTGCTCTTTCCTCTGGGGGAGAAAATGAGGTGATTTACACAGAACAGACCCCGTGTGCTTCCCTCAGGAGTGACCTGTCATCACTCCACTCTTCTGCTTACAAAAACCACCAGAGCGCCCAGTAGGCAGCCAGGAGCAGGCACGGGGAGAGCGGGGGAACAGCCTATTTTCTAAGTGAACAACTTTAAAGAATTCAGGCAGTCATCCCAGCTCCTGGGGAGATGGAGACTGGGGGGACTGGGGTTCAAGGCCAGCCTGGAGGAGAAAGTTAAGAGACTCCCCCCCATTTCAACCAACACAGCTGGGCACAGTGACCCGTGCTATTAATCCCAGCTATGCAGAAGGTGTAAACAGGAGGATCAAAATCCAGGCCAGCCTGGGCAAAGACCTGAGAGCCTATTAAAAAAAATAAATGTCTCACGCCTGTAATCCTAGCTACTTGAGAGGGTGAGATTAGGAGGATCTCAGTTCAAGGCCAGCCTGGGCAAACAGCTTGAGAGACGCCCCCCCATCCCCCAATCTCCAAGAATAACCAAAGCAAAATGGACTGGAGGCATGGCTCATGCAGTAGAGAGCCTGCTTTCTGCAAGCAAAAGGCCCTGAGTCCAAACCCCAGTATAGCCAAAAATACATAAAAGAACAGAGATTTCGAGACTGCCTAGCAAGGCCAGCTTTCTGGTGAAGACAAGCTGGGTCTGAGGCAACAACGGTGTGCTAAGTGGCAGCTGGGCGGGGCACTGGTCCCACTGACCCTCCGTACCTTCTGTGGGTTCTCTGAAGTCCATGTTGGATCCGCGCAAGGGAGGGCCGTCTCTGAAGCGACTCCCCATGGGAGGGCCTGCTCGCCGGTCGCCAGGGCGACCGCCGCCCCTGCCTCCTAAGAAGTCATCCCGGAAACCTGAGAAGAGAAGGGACGCTATGAGTGCTTGCACTAGCCTCTAGGGTGGCAGCAGTGTTTTGTGAATAGGGTCTGAGCCTGCCCCTTACAAGGCTCCCCGGGGAGACAAGCCCACGAGGGGATCTGTGGGGTCACAATGTTGACAGACCTGCCATTTCCTTTTACTACTCCCCCAGTGCCAGGGTGGGGCCAAGGGCCTGCGCATGCTAGGTGAGTGCTCTACCACTGAGCTGCAGTTCAGCCTATAACAGACTTTTTTTTTTAATTTTTGGTGGCACTGGGGTTTGGACTCGGCCTACACTTTGAGCCACTCCACCAGTCCTTTTCTGTGATAGGGTCTCACAAATTATTTGCCCAGGCTGGCTTCGAACTGGGATCCTCCTGAGTAGCTGGGATTTACAGATGTGAGCCACCAGTTCCCGGCTCAGTAACAGACTTTAAAATAAAGACACAAAATCATACAAGAATAAAATGAGCTGTTTAAATGATCAGCATGCAGGAAAGCTAGAGACTGTACTATGGCTGAAAACAAAAATCCTCACGGCAGGCCTTGGTCTGGTTTTTAACATAAATGTAGTTATTTACAGACAAACCCGAGAGTTAGAAGCATCTATAGTTTAGGACACAAAATCACAAGGAAGAAGAGTATGAGGACAAACTTAAAGAGTGCCAGTCACCGCTGTCACCCCACACCTGCACTGAGGCAAAGGCAGGCTGGGCTCCAGCGTGCAGCTGGGAGGGCTACCCCAGTGGACCTTCTAACAGCATGGCCCACTGAAGACAGGTTAGCTACAGTGGAACAAACGTAGGAGCGGAGGGCTCCAGCTCCCACATGGGGAGCCAGCAGCCTTTCAGGCCACTAGGCTTTGCCTTTTTCTTGGCGACTGCACTGTTTCAAACAGCCCCAGAAGCAGGACTGTGGGGACACATGTGCCTGTGCCTTAAGACAACAGGTGAGGCTCAGGCAGGCTTAAGCCACAGTACCGTGGAGTGTGACAGTGGCTACGGGGTCAGTGCTGGGCATCACACAAGGTGGGCACTGCGCATGTCCTGACCAGAGGCTCCCGGGAAGCCAACCTAGTGATAATTCAGTCTAGGCTGCTAGCGTGTAGGGCGACTCTGCAGAACACCATCCTGGGTTGTTTTTGAGACTGGCTCTTGCTCTGTAGCCCAGGCTGGCCTCTGGCCTCCATGGATGGAGTGCTGGGATTACAGGAGTACACAATAAGGCTGGGAAGAACACAAGCATCTTCTGAATAGAGCATACCGCTTCTGTTCTTTCAGGATGACAGGATTTTATCTGAAACTCAGTTCAGAAACTGAACTGAACATCAACTAATAATACAAGTAGTGAAAACCATTTTGAATAGATTTAGTCCAACAGAAACCTTGTTCAGGGGGAAATACTGAATGCAAGCACCAAGCCCTTCCCAATATGTTTCTTTTGGTGGTACTGGGGTTTGAACTCAGGGCTTCGTGTTTCCTAGGCAGGAGCTCAACCACTTGAGCCACAGTCCAGTTGTTTTTGGTTTAGTTTACTTTTCAGATAGGGTTTCAAGCTTTTTGCCCAGGGCTGACTTTGGCCTCAATCCTAGATCCTCCTATCTCCACCTCCCATGCAGCTGGTATCACAGGTGCGTGCCACCAGCCCACACTGTGACATCCCTTTTCCCGTGCATATGAAAGCCACGTGCCTTTAATGAGCTCAATTTTGCCCCAGTGTCTCAGCATGACACAAATCAGCTCACAGCCACAATGATGACACACACATAACTGTGACTCTTCAGTGGCTCCAGTGATAAGAGTTCCTGCCTGGCATGCATGAGCCTTGGGTTCAATCCCAGGTACCTCCCCAGACCAACTTCACTTAAAGTGAAGTGGTACAAGACTGTAATCCTGGGACTTAGGACACTGAGGCAGGGGGGAGGTTCAGGCCAGCACAGGTTACAAAGTGAGGCCCTGCCTCAGAAAAAAACAAAACCACACAAATGTCTCATTTCAAAATCTCATGAAATGCCCAATGGGAAAATGATGTGTGATGTGTGCGTGCGTGCGTTGTTGGGCTTAAGTCCTGGTGGGATCCTTTGTTTCCTTCTCTGTATTTTTCAGTATTGCTCAGTTCTGTGTGGTGTTTTTTTATTGCAATAAGCATGTACCACTTAAAAATAGCACCATTCTTTTAGAGCAAAAAAGATCTTATTTCTGCAAGTGATGTGTAAGGTACAAATCAGCCACACTCCAAGCAAGCCTGTCACTTCACCCTGGAACTGGAGGGTGACAGGGCAGTATCTCTGGCTGTGTTTCCTGGGTCTCTAGGGTGTCCAGGGCCAAGAATGGAAAGGCACTAGTCACTTAGGTAGGCCCCACAGTTTGAGCCCTGAGCCCCTGGGGCTGTTTCTGTAGCATCTGCAGACAGAGCTGGCAGGTCAAAGGGTACCATTCCTACCACTGGCTGCATACTGGGGTGGCTCTAGGAGGACTGCAGCTCTATGTCTCAATCCGAGACTGGCTTAGCCATAAAATCACACTGACTGTGTGACACTGTACTTCTATGGTTTCAATCTGACACTAGCTTAGACATAAAAAAATCAGACTGACTTGTGTGACTTTTAAGGACTGAACAGCTCGACAGTCAACTAGCACCCTGCTGAGCCCAAGCGGCACTGGAAATGAGCTTTACAAACCTCAGACTGTCCAGTTCCCAGAAGCCCTCCTGTGCTTACCCATGATGTGGGTTTGGTTTGGATGGGGGTAGGTGGGACAGGATGGCAGTGCTCTTCTGTCAGAGGACAGGGAGGGCACAGAGCACCCAAGTTTGTGGGGAGGAAATCAGACCTGTTACCCTCTCTAGCTGTTACAATGCCCACACTGCTGTGGGTATATGAACTACTTCAAGAGGCAGATGCAGAAGGCATGGGAGATCAGCCCTGCAGGCCGGGCCTGCAGACCAGCCTTCTGAGCTGGACACCCACTGGCGCACCTGGGTGGGGAAAAGGGTAAAGGAAAAGTGGATCCTGCCATCTCCCCACCCCCATAAAGTGCTGGCGTGCCACACCTTCCAGGTCCTTAAAACTCACAATTCTGAACTTTCTCTAGCTTCTAGAGCCTCTACCCCATGCTTTTTCTGGAAGTTTTGTACCACACACAAAACTACCAAGGAGCTGGCCTGGGGTGCAGCCTCAGCAGCGAAAGGCTGACTGATGGAGACTGCAGCCCCGAGCCCCACAGAAGAGCAAGGTGGTGAGAGACAGGCCAGGCCACCTCCTGACGAGAAGTGGCAGGGCGGCAAGGCTATGGGGCAGGTGTGACGCTGTTAATACTGATACCCGAACTGAAGTCATCCCGGGAATCCCATCCTCCTCTAGATTCTCGAGAGCCACCCATTCCTGGGGACACACAACAGAGAGAAAGGCGAAGTCTCATCAGTACCTTGCCGCAAGAACATAGAACACTGTATGAGAGGACAGAGGGCCATGAAGCCGTTCTAAGGGCTAGAAGACAGTGCTACGGGGAACGCCCAAGGGCTGGAACCAGCGGGAACACAGTTAGGACAGTTATCTTAGAAGAACCAGTCACCTCTGTCATCCGGTCCACCTTTCCTGAATCCAAAGCCACCTTTGTCTTGTTTTCTGCCTTCTGCAATGTCCACACGAAGTGACCGGTCACCCAACAGCTAATAGCAAAGGGAAAGAGTGTGAGTCTTGACAAGGAAACACACTAGCCTTAGGCTTGGCCTCGACCCGCCTGAGGGTGGGCACTTACCGCACCGTCGTAGGTCAAGGCCTCCTTCAGGGAGTCCACCTCGTCGAATTCTACATAGCAGAATCCTGGAAGACAAGGTACCCACATCCTCAAGCCATCCTGGATGGAGGACTGCGGCGATTGCTCAACCCCACATCAGGGCCACCGTTTTTGTGGCACTGAGCTAACACAGACCAGCAGAGCTGAGAGACTCAACTTTACCTTCAAGAAACAGCTAGGCTATCTTTGCTCCCTCTCGCTTCTACTTACCCAGTCACAAGAGGCAGGAGAACAGCAGCAGCTGTTTTACAAAGCCTTCTTGTGCATGTTAGTCTGGGTTTTCCTGTGGTTCTGGGGATGAACCTAGGCCTTGGGCCTGCCAGGCAAGTGCTCTCCCACTGAGCTCCATCTCCAGCCCCCTCTGGTGTGTGCTAACCACAATAGTAAAACCTCCCTGGGTCCCTGTAGATTAATCCCTAAATTGTTTGGGAGCTGGGAGTAGGAATAAATGGTAGAGCACGAGGCCCTGAGTTTAATCCTCGCTATCATCATCAAAACAAAAACAAAAACAATACAACAAACAAAAACAGGTGAGGAAAAACAAAACAAAAAACAGGTGAGGGAAGATACAGAATTTGTTTTGCAAAGCTAAAAAACCAATTTTAGCAACAAGGGCATGCCCCTCTTGGTGTCAGCAGGTCAGGTCCCTGCAGGTATCACTGAAATCCTGTGTCCTAACCGTGATCTTGACATCACCCCTTTTCTCACTGACTGTAGTTTCAAGCACCACTCACTCTCCAGGCTTTCCTGCACCCTGTGCCTGAGATAGCTTTCTGCGTAGGGAAAACACCTCTGGTGCCGGAGGGCTTCCTCAGCTTCCTCCCGAGTGGATTCAAGGTTGAGAGCAACTGAGCAACCCACTCCCAGTCCCACGTTCAAAGAGGCAAGGCCAGCACAAATCTGCAGCTGGGCTGGTGCACACATCTGGATGCCTACTTAGCAGGCACACTCCCGACACCCTGTGCACCCTGTGATTCAGCAGCCTGCCGCTCCAGGGTGTAAGAGCAGCAAGGGGGTGAGCTGCCTATGCGCACCACCACTCAGACCAGCCACGACTGCTTGGTTCACCTCCGCCCTTCTCTCTGGGTGACTCCTCTACTGGCGGAGACAGAACTGCTACACAGGCCAGGCAGACAAACCTGGGCCTGGGACCACATGACTGTACAACCCGACAATGTGCAAAGCACCCCCAGTGCAACTGCAGGCCTAGAGAGTTCAAGAACTGTGCATTTTAGCTCTGTGGAGCAGGTCTGTGTGACACTCAACTAGAGCCTCTGGCTTCACTAACATATCTTTCTTTAGCCCCCTCCCCAGCCTTCACCCCCAAACTCACCTTTAAATTTGTCTGTGTCTTTGTCTCTGACTAGCCGTACACTCCTTATGCTGAGGTCCTTAAAGATAGCATCTATGTCGCCCTGAACCGTGTTGAAAGGTAGATTTCCTACGTAAGCTGTGTAGGGGGGCTCTGTGGGCAGCTCCTTCTGGCTACGGGAACCATGGCCACCAGCGCTGCCGCGGGACCTAGGAGGAGAGACAGACAAGGTTCAAGTCTCCCATGGCTTCTGCCCAGAGCAGGACATGCCAAGCTGTCTTCTACGTGGTCACACTGGCCACCCAGCATCCCAGCCCAACACTCTGCTCTCAGATACAATCACAGCTGCTTGGGCTCTATGAATACTATAAAATGTCACTCATCACAAATGTGCCTGTTTCTGGTGACAGAAATGCCCACAGAAACACAGAATGCAAGCAAACATACATTTCTGGAAAAGCAGATCCCAACCCACTGCCCCAAGACACCTGGTTCTCTGCTGTCACTTAGAATCTCCATCTGCAAACTATGCCTGTCCTGTAAAGTCAGCCAGCACCTCCTCTCGCACCCATGGTAGCATAAGAAATCAGGAAATGGACTGGCCTCAGGGACAAGCTGTATCGGGAGGGGTGACCGAAGCTGCTCAGGTGTCACATATTCCTAACACAATTACGACCATAGTCGCTCCTCTCCACTGCCCACTGGGTGATAAGAACACTCTAAGGCCAGCACCCAGGAGGCCGAGGTAGAAGGATTTCAAATTCCAGGCCAACCTATACTATACAGTGAGACACAACTCCAGCAAAGAAAAAAAAAAGTTCATGTGTAAGCCATGTGTAAGTTCATGTGTAAGGTACCAGTGGCTCATGCCTGTAATTCCAGCTACTCAGGAGGCAGAGATCAGGAGGATCGTGGTTTGAAGCCAGCCCGGGCAAATAGTTCATGAGACCCTACCTTGAAAAAAAAACCATCACAAGAAAGAGAGGTGGAGTGGCTCAAGGTGTAGACCCTGAGTTCAAACCCCAGTACTGCCAAAAAAAAACAAAAAAAGTTTCCACGCATAACCAGCTTGTTAGAAATGCTATGAACCCCAATGTAAGCTAGACGTGGAGGACACGAGCACGCACTAAAACTGATGGGCCACTCTGGCTGGCACGCGAGCTGACAGCGGGGAGGTCGTCACTAAGGGCAGGGGATCAATGGGAACCCTGTAGTTTCTGCTCAGTTTTGCTGTGAACCCAAAACCGCTCCAGAACAAAAGCGCTGAAATGAAAGGGAAGCTGTCTTTGCAGCCCTGGGGACGGGGGCAGGAGGTGCAAAGGAGACCACACAATGAGATGGTCACGAGCCTGCCGCACCCCCACTGCAGTCACGACTCAAGTGGGGCTCTTCAGTGGATGCCAAGCTGAGTGTAATGGTTTAGGAGGACCAAGAGACCCGCCCAAAACCACTGTATCCCCACAGGCCACTACTCATAAGGCGGGACCAGCAGACCCCAACCAGATTGACTGAATTTAGTGTCACTAATAATGGGACAAACTGACACCATTCTTCCTACTGTGTCAGACTCTTCACATCTATCATTCAAAACATGACAACCACTGCTGCATGGTCTTTGGATCCTGGAACAAACAGCTATACAGAAGGCAGGGCCGGGGCTGTACTTCCGTGGCACAGTGCCTGCCTGGCTCATGCATGGCCCTGGGCTCCACCCCCAGAAACACCCCCCCCAACGCCGCAAAAAAAAAAAAAAAAGCACATGGCACCTGTAGATATTGTTGTGTCAGTGTTGCATCTAGGACTGAAATTGCACAGTCCTTAGTAGAACATCCTGCTCTCAGCAGGGATCAAGGGTATGTAACAGGGAGGCACAGGACAGCCAACACCCCACCCCCTTGCCATAGAGGGTCCGTGTGCACGTGTATGATGAGGCAGATGTGGCAAGATGAGAACTTGTAGAACCTGTTAGAACACTCCAAGTCACTCTTTCCATATCACTGCAGATCTGAAAGCTTTTGAAATAACACATCTGAAAAGTTCAGGTGGAAAGAAAATTGAAAGGGCTTTGTTTTGGTTTCTGAAACAAGGTCTCACTATGGAGCCCAGGCTGGCCTTGTGGTCCTCGGTCCTCCTGGCTCCACTTCCTAAGAGCTGGGATTACACACATGTACCACTATGCCTGTTAAAAGGGGACATTTAAAACAAAAAGCTACTCAAAGTTGTCCTCTTTGTTGGGGAATACTAAACCAGCCTCAGAGAATAACTTTTTTTTAAAATTGTTTTTATATTTATTCACACGTTTATACACTGCTTGCCCCCCACCCCCCTTCTGGGCAGAACCTGTTCTGCCCTCTTGTTCAGAGAACAACTTCACTTTTACATGTACACCGCTAGAAATACCACATCTCCCTCAGATAAAACCAGACCTCTCAAGGATCTAATAAATATAGGACATAGAGGAGGTTGAGAAGGAGAGATGATGGGGGTGATCTAACCTATAAGCCTAATCAGAATTGCCACTATGAATCCTCCCCTGTATAACAAATTTATTCTAATAAAAAAAAATTCTTTAAAACGTTTCTCTAAAAAAAAAAGACAAAGCTACGATGCCTTTTTTGTGGTACTGGGGCTTGAACTCGGGGTCTCCCGCTTGCTGGCAGGCACTCTACCGCTTGAGCCCCTCCCCCAGCCCCATGGTGCTTCTTGTTTGGTGACAATTTAGTTTTAATTCATCTGATCCTAACTTGCCAGTGAACACAACTTAGTGTTTCAATGCCCTTTGCCCTTACTACTCTCTAGTCCCCATCTACAAAACCAGGTATTGGAGTCAGAGGTGTGGTGGGTCACCTGCCCAGCAACTGTGAAGGTTGAGTTCAAGCCCCAGTACTGCAAAACCATGTATCCCCAGCAAGTCAGTAAGACACTTTGGGATTAGATAATGGATGTATAAGATACAGTATAAACATTTGAAAAAACACTACCGTCAAGGATAAATGACATTAGAAACACCTTACATTCATTCATTAGACACTAAACATCTGATAAATACTCCCTTGCATTCAAGCAGCTCCCAACTGAGTACATATATAAAACGTGTAACCACACAGGCACAGTGGCTCAGCCTATGAATGTAGCTACGTGGAAGGCTATGAACAGGAGGATTGTGGTTGGACACCAGCCTGGGCAAACAGTTTGCAAGCTCAAGTCCCCATGGCTAAAATCACCAGAGCAAAATGGACTGGAGGAGTGACCCAAGCAGGAGAGCACCTGCTTTGCAATCACAAAGCCCTGAGTTCAAACCCCAGTCCCACCAAAAAATGTGTAACCAGATTGTGTACTCCCCCCCTCACTGTGGGGATGCACTGCAAGAGTCCCAGGGGATGCCTGAACCCCGTTAGCCCCAACCCCTACGGAGCCTGTTTCCATGCAGACCTGTGATCAGGCTTCAGTTGTCATGACTGTAAGAGACTGACAGCAAGAATAGGAAAGAGCAATTAAACAGCACAATGCCATGAATGCTGTCACCGTGGTCCCTCGACTGTACGGTACCCTCCTTCTAGCCCATGGCTGTGTGAGATGGTACGATGTCTAAGCAGCAAGATGAAGAGGTAATGGCGAAGGCAGTGAGACACAGAGGTCAGGCCACTGCTGACCTGTTGGAGGAGGGTCACCTGGCTACGGTGATGTTGGTGGGTGGCCCATACGGCGCAGATATGCTGGACAAAGGGATGACTCACACCCACGCCCAACTGAAAGCACTGATATTTCTGGAATTCTCTTTTCAGAACACAGGTGGCCACAGGTAGCCAAAACTGTGCGGAGCCAAACCGCAGCTGAGGGGCTACCACTGTGTGTATAAGCTAGAGAGGTCTCTAGAGATGCAAAGCAAGCTGGATGCTGAATTTGCAGGTGTCTGAGGAGGTGACATGGGGAAGGCTTGCTGAAGGGACCCACTAAGAGGCTGTGTGTGGGGATGGTGGGCGCACTCAAGACTGAGGGCCAGGCCAGGCGCTGACAAGCACAGTCAAGTGCAGCAGGCAGGGATGACAGACAACCCAGGTTTACCTGGCAGAACTGCTAGCTGAGCACCAGGTGGAAGCCACGCAGGGCCGGTCAACTAAGCCACCAACTTGTCCAGGGCACCCTAACTGGTGGGGTGGGTTTCCTCCTGCTAACATTTATCAAGGGCATGCTGTGTACTAACTTGAGATGGGTGAAGGAGACGATCCCTGTGGCATACACGTGTGTGCAAGATGACAAGTCTATAACCCGCCAAATTTACACAATCAGATGTCAGGACAGCTCCGAGCTAAATCCCCAAGACAGCTGGGCATGCTGGCCAGTGTTTGTAATCTCAGCACTCAAGCTGAGGCAGGAAGACCATGAGTTCGAGGTCAGTCAGGGATACAGTGAGTTCAAGACCAGCCTGAACTATATAATGAGCTCCTGCTTCAAAAAGCCTTAAACAAAAAAGTCTGAGATAATTTTGAATCCTAGAGTTGAGCTGAGGCGATGGCTATTATCCAAACAGTAAGTTTTAATAATAAAAGTTCTTCCTTAGAGTTAGTACAAGCCTGTAATCTCAACACTCGGAAGGCAGAGTCAGGAGGATTGTGAGTTCAAGGACAGTATGCAGTATGGGCTACAGAGACCCTGTTTAAAAAAACAAAAAAACCCCAAATTTCCTTAAACATGTTAAAAACAATGCATGGGAACCAAGCACTGTAACTTACACCTGTAACCCTCGATACTTGAGAGGCTGAGATTGGGAGGATCTTAGTTCAAGGCCAGCCTGGGCAAAAAGTTTGAGGAACCCCCCTGCCCCGCCCATCTCCAAAATAACCAGAGCAAAATGGACTAGAGGTGTGGCTCAAATGGTAAAGCCCTGCTTTGCAAGCTGGAAGTCCTGAGTTCAAATCCCAGTCCCACCACAAAATAAATAAATATATAGAAACGGGAGACTGGATTCTTCCTTCATTGGACACATTAAGTGAGCAAAATCACTTCTGTACCTCAGGCATTTTTTTTGGGCTAGGATTACAAGCATATGCCACCACACTTGGCTGCGTCTCCGTTTTCTTGTCTGTTATTTTATAAATACCTCACCTCTTAATTTTATACAGATGCCTAATTGACTGTAAAACACTTCAGGAAATAGAGTGCTATATAAAATTTAATAACAATTCAAACATTTGCGGTTAGACTGAAC